GCTTCCCCAACGGATATCAGATTTCACGTTTTATGAGTCAAGATCAATTTGAGGTTAGAATGTCTCCCTCTGCGTGTTGTACAGTTTGCGAGACTTTTATTGGCAGAATAGAAATATTATCGAAATGTCAAGGAGTTCTTCCAATTTAATGTTCAAATTAACACCAATATTTTTGAGGTTAGCCATGTTCTGAGGTTAACAGAACAGCCATTATTTTGTGTAATATCGTAAAGTTATTCGATCGGTTTTTTAATTAGTATCCAAGTTAAATGTCTGAAGTTGTAAAATGTAAAATTGGGAAGAAAAGAGATGTAATCAGAAAGAATGTACTTTCGCCTCTATTTTCTCATAATTGAACAGTTTAAGGGAACTTTTTAAATTAGTTTCGTAGCTAATATCTAAAACAAATTTGCACAGCCTCGTAACGCAAAATTGCTGCAAGAAGAAATTTAATTATAAAGAAACTACGTTGTTTTTCCATAACTGAACGTTTCAAGACACGGTTCACGCTTCGTTTCGAAGTTCTACCAAAGTTTCCTCGCGAAATGCAATCTATCACCGACAACAACGGGGATCGAGTATCGATGCAACATCATTTGCAAATAAACTGAATTTGTTATTATTGAAAAATAATATTTTCGCGCGTGACTCGAGAGAGGTACGATAACAGATTCGAAAATCGAGATAAAAGACAAACAAACTCGATATCCCGAGGATGCGAATAAATAAATTAGGGTATCTCCCAGGTCTACCCGAGTGTGTGTCATAAAGCAAAGTTTTAAACGGCGTTTTCCTCGAATTTCCATTGTTTTCGCGAAAGAGGTATCAAGGTGTCATTCTGGATGATCTAATGACGAGAGTGTAGCTGCGTCATCTGCTCCAGTGACGTCAGTACTAGTAAAAATACTTGGGTTTCTCGGATGAAATGGAGAATTAGTTTTTCTCGATCATTGAAAGGCAATCTCTTGTGAGTTGCGCAACGTTGATTAAAAATGATATTTTTCGTTCCACGGGAAACAAACAATCGGCTTAATTTCTTGTTCACCGATTTATACAAGCATACGTTCGCTTACAAATTCAATTTCTTCTTTTCTTTTCTTTCAGCCAATAGAGAGAGAGAGAGAAAGAGCTTGAGGATCGATGCAACACGTTGAATTTGCTTTTGTAAATTAGGTAAATTAGTTTTAATTTGAAACACTATGCTTGATACCTCTTATAAATATTTTTTGAAAATTTGGAAAATTAAAACTGTACGGATACGGTATACTTTTTGAGGTTATAAAATTTATAAGCCACCTTTTCATGAGATTGCTCGATAATCTCTTTTTTCTCGGGGAAAGTAAAATTAAAAGAAAATATTGCACGGTAACCCAACAGAAAGAAAAAAGTATTTCTCGATCGATTAATTTTAAGTACAAAGAATGTAAAATTGTAATTAAAAAGGAATCAATTACAATATTTATTACTCGAGTAATTATTGCTGTGGAAATTATATAAAAATAATAAATTTATGAAAATGTTAAATTATTTAGAAAGTTTTAGATCGTCTTTAAATAACTTAATCTTGAAAAATTTGACTTCTTTTCTTTTTAGAAAAAGAGCAAGTTAAATGAAACAAAAATATCTGGAACGAAATCTATTTCAAGTTAGCATTCGAGTTAGACGAAACAGCTTCTATAAATTTTGTGTAACACAAATAAAATAGAATTTACAGTATTTCGATAGAGTGACTCACCTATAGTGGTGTAAATGGTACCGCAATAGAAAACAGCGTTCCAGAAAGTCCATACTTTTTTTCCACGATCCGTCACCCCGCGTTTGTAGAATTCGTACAAATGTTCCTCGTAATCCATCATTTCGCCACTCGCATATCCGTGCCAATAATCCGAATTCGTCATCAATGCGTCGTCGTCGCACAACTTCCTGATCTTGAATATTGTCTTGTTTCTGTAACATTTTAAACATCGATTGACAAAAATTCTCGACGAATGATCGCACTTTTTCATTTCATCTTCTCGATTTAGGGGCACAAGAAGTAGTACATAATAGCACATAAACGAGGTATTAGACACTGATCTCTTAGGGACTTTGCACTTAGACAGATGGTAAGTATAAAGTTCAAAGTTTTTAATAGACCCGCGAAAGCAAGTCTAATCATTAAAGTATAAGAAAGTCGCAGTCATGATAATTCCTTTTCTGTTAATCTATTATTGAAACATATTCCACTCGATGAAAGGGATACAATTTACGATATTTACGCTCAAGTTGTTAATAACGCAAATCGAGAAAGGTAGAACGTGTCCCATTGGAAACTAGGGACTTTTGCAATTCAGAGAAGACGCAAGAAACGTGTTTGTGATCTGGATGGTTTCGCGAGATTTGTGATTAGTCGTTCCCTTTCCTTTTTTACTCCCTTCTTCCTGCTCGTTAACGAGAAAAAACTACAGAGCAATCGAATCACCGATATTTTTTCGCGTGTTGATTCGTTCCTGATTCGCGTAAATAGCTCGAACGTCCTGAATTATTGGAGGGAATGGAGAAATGAAATGACAGACGTAGCCAAGAGACTGGGTTCTGTCTAGACTAAAGGTCGTCAGTAGTTCTGTCACTGGATCCTTTTAATCTCGACCCTAATAAATGTCCTCGGTAACATAAAATACTGGAAAGTTAGCCAGTTGAGTAATTTCATTATAAAGCAAATCACTCTGCTTTCTAGTAACATTGATCACAAAATTAAACGTTCATCAACACTTATATAACGAAAATTTCTATCTCACTTTGTACTGAAAAATATTATTACAAGCTTAACTCCCATAGAATTTAAACGAACAGAGTTTGCTAAGTAAATTATCCGAATAAGAACAGGATTAAAATAATCCTCCAACAAGGTTACAATATTCCCCACGCAATACTTGAATTATTACAATTAGAAAATCTCGTATTTACAAATTCACCCTTTTGAATTATTCAATAAACGACCTTCTGACTATTTTAAACAGCGAATTAATACCAATCCTGAGCAACATTTAAGCAATACCTTGAAACGTTTCTTCGTTTATTTTTAACCCTTTTCTCAACTACGTTTCCTTCAATTAACAGTATACACCCTTAATCAGAGTTCGCATTTATGCTCACGCAAGATTACCGATCGCTCGTACGAAAATGGAGAAGATATATGAAAATTATGGTTACACCGATGGCCGAGGCTGGCACTTTGGACCGCCGACACGTGCTTTCGTTCTTTATATCGGATCGGTCACGCTACCGACAAATTTTTCTACGAATAAAACAGAGGTCAGACGCAAATCCTGTCAGAGCTAAACCTGACCTTCGTTCTAAGGTCAATCGATTCCTTGCCGCGAAAGTATGGTGGAAAAATCGATTCGGAGCAGGCGAAATCGTTGATAAGTGGAATAAGTCAAGGAAAGCGTAGTCGTCGTTATGAATTCCAATTTTCTGCCTCACAATGGGGCGAAGAGATATATGTTCCAAGGGAATGTCTTCCACTTCGTGGTATGATCATTGACGAAATCGTTCCAATAGCACTGCGAATGAGCAAAAGAAATAATAACTCGGTATGATCAAAGTCTTGCAATTAAGTCATAGCTCGTAGAAATTTATTACTTCGAATTACCTTTTTAATACACTTGCCCGTTGTTACGATGACGTAATAGAGTTTCACGAATAATTTAGCTGGAATATAAGGATAGAATTAATGTCGAGAAGAGAGTGACTTTATTGAATCACGAGTACCTAATGTTTCTGCAGGTTTACTTCTTTGTGCTTAAAAGTCCCCGAGGCACTTTCTAATTGAATGATGAAATTAATAACTTTGGAGATAAACCTTGAGGCATTTGAAATGCAAAATTGCTAAATGAGAATGTATAAGGATAATTATCTGTGATTAAATATTTCAGTGTAAATATTTAATGGGTTAATAATTTTAATTATTGAAATTAATAATTCCAGTGATAGTATTTAAGAGGATGGAATATCTTAGAATAAATTAAGATTTATTTTGTTGATAAATACCATGATCGAGTACCAAACTATATTCCCTTTTGCCAATAGGTTGTAATCACATTTGTGCCATTACAATGGGACCGTGGAAGTCTGGGTAAAACATGTGAGACATATTTAGCTGCAGTCACTACCATCTACTTTTCCTTGTGAGAAAATAGCTGCGAATGGTTGAATATTGTTTGTACATGGCCAAATTCGAAATTGTGAAGAGAAATAAAGTATCGAGGATGAAGGAGACATTACGAGATACTTACAAGAAATAGGAACCATTTGTAACAAAACGTAAAGGCAGTTTCCAAGTGATGAACACTGTACCATTAATCACTCGAATATCTTCGAAGAATATTTTCTTACAATTTCAAAAAAATGAAGGATACAGAGACTGCATACTGTGTCAATGTAAAATCTTATCGCGATAATTTAAAACACGCTTGCGTGATAGAAAGCTTTAGCATCATCAGATTAGGATTCAGGTACAGTTAACGATTCAAACGTACACAACATTACCATAAACGTGCTAGTTTTTATTCCCATCAGTTGAAATAAACGAGAATTGTTTAACTCGATATTGCCTTGCGTAAATTAATTAAGCAATAGTTTGTTGAACCTAGTACGTTGCGCTAAAAATTTCTGTAATTAATCAAATAGCAACATTACTATCACAATTCTTTACTAATTACTACAATTATAATTATTATTTATAGAAAGTATAACTCAAGTAATAATGACACTATAGTTAAGTTAAGTAATACAAAAATGTTGCCTTGTCATAAAGAAATGTGTAAATACCTAAAAATTATTCAGCTATGGTTAATATCTTTCCTAATAGAATGTCATAAAGACTATTTAATTCTTGATTCGTCGAATCATGTAACCCACTTAATCCTGATGTTGTAAATTATTAAAACAAATAGAATTTAGCTCGCATGAACGAAGATACTGAACTACAACAAAATATTATGAGGTTCGTGTTTGTTTTAATACACGTTCGATCGTCCCACATTTTCCTGCTGTTGTTGCCGATCTTGTGTTTCCCGATGAAACCGATATAATGTATCCACGCTCCTGTCGTCGCGTTTGTGCTTATTCTTTAAGCTCGCTTTCCTTGGAACGAAGGTTAAAACATCAATGCATGTCTATAGAATGTAGATTATATAAATATTACGCTTCTGTAAGTTGAAAGGATAAACTAACAATCCTCGCCCATGTGAAACAGAACTGCCGATGGACTATTACGAACATGAAACTTCGAATTGGTTCTACTAAAAATGATAAATTCGCAATCGTTACTTTATATCTGGATAAACATAGAATTACCATTTTGTGCGGGAAAGGAAAACAAATGGGGAAAGAAAAATACTTCTCTTCCGTTTCCTTTCATTCCTTACAAAATATTAAACATGCATTTCTTCTTAGATCCATCCGCATTCTTAAAGAAATTCTCTTAAACGTGTATCATATTTCGATTTAAAGTTATTACCAATAGCTCAGGAATTTTCAGAAATTATTATATATTATTAAACTTCGTGCAAATGCGATGAAAAAGATCGGTATAATTTTAACTTAAAATGTTAAAAGTAATTCTAAATTGTGTATTTAAAGTAAATATTGGCCATCAGCTCTATAAGAAATGCGGACGTATTGAAGAATTAATTCAGGAAGCTTATCACCCACCTTTCCCTTCGAATACTGCTATGCACTATGTCTTCGTTGGTTCCCTCGATCGTGACGAATATCATCGCGCCTCCGATACTGTACAAAAGCACGATAACAAATAAGAAAATGTGTGTGAACCATCGTTTGCTCCAGGAACTGACCTATGCAGAAATTCGTAATACCGATATCAGTGCGAACCATTACAACACAGAGCTAGAAAACACACACGAAATTGTTTTACGCGGACCTTCTCGTAAAGCCAAAACGCGCTCTTCTCTCCGACGCTCAGCCCAGATTTGGTCAGATCCTTGATACCCTTGAATTGGCTAAAGACAAACTCACTGGCCTTGTTCGAGTAAATCACCTGCGGTTGACCGGAAACCGGTGTCATCGGTATAGGTGTCTGCCCGTACGGGGTTGGGACGTACGCCATACCGGTCTGCGGATAATATTGCCCTGGTAACGGAAGCTGAATCTTTAACCTCGGGGGTGGCCCTTTCTGGGTATCCGGTGAACTCGACATCTTTACAACACGCTTTCTCCCTTATCCCGATTAAAAAAGAAAATAAACGTTTGTGGTTTATGATAACCGTAACACGAATTAGTTTGGATTACAAACTAATTTGAAGTATTCTTTATCAAGAGATTGTTCTCTTGGAATCAGCTAGAACTATCACAATAGGTCATCACTTTTGTGCTTCCGTTATTTCTGTGAGTGGGTATGTTTCTTGGTGTCTTGTTTCACGCTATAATTCGACTTTTACTTTATCTTAAGTGGATACGTTGGATGTTGACTAGATATCAAACTGGATACATGTGTTTCAAACAGCATTAGGAGTAGAGATTCTTCGGCCGGATCGATTTTCCTCTATGTGTTCAATATTATTGGATTCGAGAACACGCGTGTAAATAAATGACGATTTGAGACAAGCAGTTGGCAAATCTTGATCAAAATTCCACACAGAATTTACCAAGAAAACCAGATCGTCGAGCAATCAGTTGCGCTTCATAAATTTATGACCGGGCATATTCCAAGATGCTCGAATCCTTCTCTGTAACGACTCTTAATCTATCATAGAACTGCCGTGTGTCAGATAATCTGAACGCAAGCACTATTGGCTGGTATGCTGTTAAATCGAACCACGACTCCTTCAAATCGTAGGGTAATTCAGAGATCTGTCACTGCTGCGAATCTATTTTCAATGCAGAATACGAATTCTTCTGAATCGTGACTTCGAACACACTCCTTGGGAAGTATACAACGAATATTCACTCAAAGATTTTCCCTTTCTATATGAACATCTTTAAAAAGAAGCTAGAAGATGGATGATTGATATTCGTGATTGGAAAGAATTCACGAGCACGTGTACATAATACTCATTGATCTTGACCGTGTTTCTATCTTCCGATTTCGAACTTTGTAACTCCGTTGATTTCCAATTTCGTGGTTACCTAAAATTATTCGGACGACATACCACAGGTCGACGACCCCCGTTGCATCTTAGCAATAAATAGATCGACTGTCCGCGAATGTGTCGACGAATTTAGGCAGCAGGTATTCGAATAGTTTCTACACCTCGCCTAGGAATTAATTTATTGAATATATATCGTATGTATGCACTTCAGATGTAAATAGATTGAAAAATGTCTAAAAATTATAACGATGTTGAAGAACAAAATCAGTCGAAGGATTCAGGAGAAACGTCGCAAGCAGAAAATTAAAACCAAAGTTCCGTTCGCAAAATCTCTAGTGTAGGAATCGTATATGTTCAATTTGTTGGGTGATGTACCACCGACAAATAAATAAGCGCGGCTTTTTCACTTAACGATGCAACACGATGCTCTCCAGAGAATTTCTTTTCTTCCTCTCTCTTTCCTATGCGTGGAGTTTTTTAAGATCGATGCGTAGTTTACCACCTCGTGAAGTTCAGCCTTTTTAAGCCTTTTCGGAATTAAATCACGTCGTTCCCTTAACTTTTCTTTAATCAGTCACTCTTCTAATTAAGCCATTAAATGACTATTATATTAGGATTTCGCTAGAATTTTCAAGAACTCGCGATAAAATTATGCACAAGAAATTTTAACAAACAAGATACTGAAAAATAGTTTCTCCGTTTAGGATTAAAAAGATTAGAACAGTCGAATCAAAATATAACGTTGACTCAAAGAAATTCACACGCTATTATTGTTTGATAAATCCAATAGCTGTCTCTTTCCACTTCTCTCTAGTTCGATACTCTTCGATAAGAAGAATCCCTTTGTCCACTCCCCAATTGGTCTTATTCCATCGTTTCTCTCTGATCGAAGGAACCACGAGACTCGTTCGTTATTTGACTCTGATTGGGAACACGATCACATCACTCGTGTCCTCTGATATCTTGGTACGCGTCATTTGTATCAAGGATGGCTGATCCTTTGTTCAGGACGATTGCGATTATCCCTCCTCCTAGGGACGATTGGAACAAAGTTAGGAAGCTCACGACTCATCGATACTGCGCCCAGCGCTAATACAATTTACATGACGCGGTTCAATTTGTAATTTCAAAATATTCCATCTTGAACAAGACTGTACCGGAAACTTCACGTGTGAGACAAATTCTTCGTGATTTTCCCACGTTATCACGACTTCTCGTCAAGTGTTAATTTCCTAAAATTTGGTTATTTTCTAAATCCGATTTTTCTCATTGAGAAACAGTTTTCTGAAGCTCAACCAATCGTAACAATCGAATTGTAACGATCACTGTTCGCGTACACTAAATGTCTCTTTGAACAATTATCCTCGTTTGTGTCAGGAGCAGAGAAAACTCGGGGGTTGTATCGTACGTGCCTCTCGAATACCTCTGGCAACGGCGTCGCGACGCCAACTGACTGAACGAAACTGGTGTCGGGCGTCAGGGCGTTTTGAAACAGGCGCTACGATTTACAGGGCCGTAGTGGCCACTTAAAAATTTATCAAGCTTATGTAATTCAAATTATACGGTGTAACAATTTGCAAGAATCCTAAAAGATAAGGTACAATCATTATTCATAGAATAATAATATTAAAGAATAACTTAATGTCGAAGGTGTTAAGAAATTAACCAGATAAATTTTGCTCGATGTTTCGAAATATTATAATGAATTTTATTTTTTAATATTATATTCCATTTTAATTATACTTTTAAAGTCTAAGTTTTAAAAATATTTGATCCATATAAAAAAGTTTCATTTTCTAATTTCAAATTGTGGTTTAGATATAAGAATCTATGTTATCTAGCTAATTTCTCATCACTAAATTTTTATATATAAATGTGCGCAGTAAAATCAAGAAACAATACCCATCAGTACTTATTTCTGCGTAAATAGCATGTGAACAATTTTAGAAATGATCTCGAACATCAAATGAACATTGATGCTTCGTTTTGCCATAGAAAAAAAAGCATCCTTTCTTACTCCAGAAACCGGAACTTCTCTTTACTGAAAGCAAAATGTTCCATACAGAGCGATCTTAAAGTGGGTCACCTATATCGATTACGCGCGTACGAGGGAACTTTTAAAATTACATCAAATAAACGCTCGAAACAAGAACCCATACTCAACCTGAAAACGTATATCAAATCAGAATCGTTCATGTCCAATCTGTTTCAAGCTGAACTCTATTGTTAATAAAGTTGAATGATAATGGCATGCGAATTTCTCAATATCCTGCGACACTGGTAACAGACTCCACCAGTCCAATCTCCATTACGCTCTCGTATATGTAAACAGACTGTAAGAATACCAAGAAAATGGTCAGTACATTTGCCAATGAACACAATTTCACGGATATGTGTTACGATATCGGTCCAAATTTGAGACAAACGTTTACCGTTCGATATTTTGAGCAAACAAGACTGAAGGACAATTTTAAATATGAAGTGCAACTGCACCGGCATACTTTGTTTGTGCAACTTTTGATGTAGGCTTGACCGGGATATCATTGACATTAAAGCAAAAGGGTTGCTTTCTGAATCACACGAAACCATTTCAAAAGAACGAGCAAACCACAACTACAAGCCAGCGACGATGTCGGCTATATTTAGAGGCGGAAAAAATACATTGAAATGAAAATGATGTTTTGAGAAAACCATTGGGAAGAAGAGTATAAGTTTCCGGGTCGGGAATAGTTTTCTGTTGTATCTTGATAATTATTTGTTGCTAAGTTCACATTAATTTTGTTAAAACTTAAGCGTAGCGTTATCTAATTCACTATTCGATTATTCTCCAAGTATTTAAGGATTATAAAAAGAAAAACTCCACCGCCATTTTTATAAGTACCTAGAAATATTCAATTTTTAATAAAGTTAATTGGATTAGAAGAGTTTCATTAATAATTGAAAAATTTTTATTTTTACTGTAAAATTGTAAAATTGGTATGTGAAATAGAATTTCATTTTTTAAAATATTAACAATTTAAAATTTATTGTAAGAATTTGTGCCGCATACTAATAAATGCGCTGAGTACATAAATCGCGATGTTACAAATCTAGCTATATGTGTAGTTATCGTACTTACTTATGACTTCATAATCGTTTACCTCTTTGTGAAAAATTAACAGTCTTCATACGTGATGTTCGGCGTGAAAAAATTGCGTAAAATTTCTTCGATGCATAAATGTTTATCTGAGAATATTTGATTAAACATAATTTTTCAGCATTAATAGCATTAATGATATTAAAATTCAGTAACAGAAAATATCTTAATGTTAAACACCCATATAATTAAAACAATATTTATTTGGAAATTGACTTAAAACGATTATTTTCTTTTTCAATGTTGGATTAGTTATAAAAAATTTATGATATATAAATCAGAAAAGTAATGGAAACTTGCCAAATACATATAGTGATATTTTGGAAGCACTTCTTGGTATAAATTTATCGTGTTTCCGTGAACAGGCTGGAGACTGGAAGTCATTAATAGATATCAGGAAGCTTATTTCAAGTTGAAAACCAGTGACCATTTTCGTTGATAATATACGAGTGATTATATTGTGCAGATAGAAACTTCAAACACGCGTGTCGGATTCGGAAATTCAGTCGCTCCATCTTACGTCGAATCGTTCAATTACTCATGAATGTAAACTCTGAAGCTAGATTTCCACGTCAACTACATTCTTTATTGATATAAAATCACTTTTATATTTATATTGATATTATATATTTTCGTGTATTAAATTAAAAGTGCAATTACTTAATATCTTTGTATTATTCATTACTCTTAGTATTCTAATACATAATTTTATTTTAAAATAATACGTTTTCTCTTAAAAAATAATAGGCGATAAAATGTAATTTTAAATAATAAGAATAGAAAATAACTAAAAAGCTTAAAAATATTTCTATAAATTTTATTTAAGCAAGTTAATCTCATAAGAAAAGATAAATAATAGTTTCTAAGTTTTGCACGTAAATAATATAGTGACCAATGAGAATCAGCGACAGTAGGTCATGGACCAATGAGATCGCGCGGTGTAACGGGTATTAGCGTCTCTGGAGCGTCACCAGGAGCTGACCTTGGCGGCGCTTGGCTGCATTCACGGAAGGCGCCCGAAAACGCTTCGGAAAAAGGCATCGGGGGCAGCGCGCGTTCGTGTCGCCCATTGTTATCCTCGTCGCGTGTAATGGCTACCGTAGAGTTTGTTGACGGTGCTCGGTCTGCTTGTTCGCGCATCGGCCTATCCTGAGCCACGGTACGCGGCGACGTGGCCCAATCTGACGAAAATAAAATCGAGAAGAGCTCTACGTCGAGGTACCGCCAATTTTATGCAACCGAGAAACCCGCGCTTCGTATACCAGTCGCCGCAGCCGCCACCGCGCTTGGACGACATGATCTGCGCGGGTCAACGCTGCTCGTTGACAAGCGTGTAACTCAAAACTGATTTCGCGGCATCCACAAGGGGCAAGATTGCAGCGGCGTTGTGTTTAGTGTTAATTTTAGCGGGATCTAACGTAGTAAGGAGGTGTATCAAAGCTCTAAATCGATCGCCATTGATTTTCCGCCGCGACCACGGCCCTACCGACACGAGGAACTTGTTCTCGGATGTTGTATAGGACGAAATACTTAAATCAGTTATTAAGCTATTACGATCATCAGGAATAGTGTGACCAGCTGCGCGGCATTCCGCGCCGCAGTCATGGCAACTAGAAGATCATCCGTTTGGCACTCAGACATGTAACCCGCGGCGCCCCTGTAGACTATCACATGTGAGTATCGTATGTCGCGGTTATACTTTGAGCTTTGATTTCTTGCCATATTCTATCAAGCTTTCTTTTGATCTATGTATGAAAGCTTTACTTTTGTACCTTGGTGTGGGTTTGTTTAAAGAAGAATGTTTCATACCTATCTAGACATATCAGGATCTGTTTTGTTTCTGTTTAATGAATGCCTACTGATTGTGCAGGGTCAAAGGCAACACATCAATGGCCCTAGAATCAAATGGCAACAACGTGGTGTGGTTGAACACAACCCGTCCTGATCAAATACAACAGGTATGCAGCTTGTATACCAGCACGACGTAAAAAAGGAACGAGTTTTCTCCATTGGTATTTATTAGCTTCTCATTGATGCTTAATACGCATAACGTATACCAGTGTGTGTAGCACGTTGATTGAAACAAAGCATTATAGAATGTCACTGTTTCTAAAGCAATACTGTAGGCCCTGTAATATCTAACAACATTTACCATTTAACAGAGCCAACCAATCGAGCAGCCAGTGAAGTGTTCCATGTTTACTCAAACCGAGCAAACCAATAGTTTTACTCAGACGGAGCAGAGCAATTCAAGCTACGGCGATCAGCGACAGGTTATTAATTGTGTAAATATTAACAGAGATAGGTTTTTCTATTTAATAAAAAAGAATTAATTCTTGTGTTATATGTTATGATATATTTTATTAAATAAGTTTGCTACTTCAAATTATTCTGTTGTATGCATTTTCAGTTAGTAATATTGTATTTCCCTATCTCTGCATTTAATACATTAAATTTAACAATGTAATGAATTGTCATTTTATGTTAATTTGCAGCAGCAAGCAGCTATGTTTGACCCACAACAAATACAGCAGCAGCAAGCTGCTCAAGGTCAACAATCGCAGCAGCAACAATCTCAGCAGATGTATGTTACAACAGACAAGAAAGAGGATAAATCCCAGCAGCAATCAGCAACTGCGGACTTCCCTTTCTATTACAATGTCAACATGCTCCAAAAGGTTCAAACAAACGCGGTGAGCACAATCGGTGCGATCACAACTGACGACAAGGGTTGTTATCGTTTTGATGTGCAACCTGTCGGTTATAACACATTATTGAATCAGATGAGTATTGCGGCTGCTACCAATGCGACCTTCAAATGTGACATTTGTGGTTTGGTCTTTGGGCACATGAGTTTGCTGAATCATCACAAACGGATTCATAATACAACACCTAGTAATCTTCAGCAACAGTCACAACAAGTTGTTGTACAAACACCCACAACAGTTACTGTTGCAACTACACCAGAAAGACCATATACCTGTGATGTGTGTGGAGCTTGTTTTGCATTACCAGGAGAATTAAAAAGTCATAAGACAAATATGCATCAAAAACCAAAGGTGCAAATATGTGAAGATTGTGGCAGTGAGGACCCCTGTGAACATCATCCTACTAAAATTAAAAAGAGTATGTTTCATAATTTTTTACTTTATGTAATAACACTTTTTATTGTAGCATATAATAATGATACATATATTTCTATTCTTTAACACATATGGAGATTTTAAATATTCATTTTAATTTATAGCATATCTTAATACTTTCTAAATAAATATTTGAAATATAATTGTATTTTTATAGCTATCAAACCTGGTCATCATCCTGTGAAACGAAGGGGTGTTACCAGTGTTACTAAGTGTCATAAATGTAATGGCACAGGAATAATTTTCATTGGTAAGTAGTTGTCACTGTCATGCTTCATGCTGATCGAAGAAAAATGTTTGCTATAAAATATTACAGCTTGTATTTAAAGTAAAGTAAAGTTTAAGATAATATGTATTAACAAGTATACAAATTCTAAGAGAAAACATTTTTCTTCTTAAACCATAATCATCTTTCCTGTACTACTATCATTTCATTACTGTCATGATCGTACATCGGGTGGTGTATGGTAGGTAAACACGACGAAAAACTAGATTCTGGAATCAGTTCCCTCGCGAAGTGTGGCGGCTGCAAGGCAACAGGCCGCATCATCATAGGAAGTAAGTCGGAAAAATTACAGCAAAAAAAAATAAGGGATTTATAGTATATTTTAGAATCATCCATTGATGATTGGGTGACATCACTTAAATTTTTCAATAAATTAAAATTTAAAAAATACTTATATCTTATATATTACCTGAGAAAAAATTAAATACCGTAATAAAGCCTTTTCATAAAAATATTTAGGATAAGTCATCATTATTTGTTTTGCCTATTTCCTGAATTTATGGCAGAAAAATAAATATTTAATACTGCAAAAATTTAGTACCATAAGCTTTTTTTATTATTTATAGTACCATTATTTTATTTGCATGCATTTGTTGTAGATAGACAGAAATCTTCAGCATTTGCTGATTTTTAAATTATTAAAAAATTTGAATTTGTTGCATCAATTTTGTTTTCTTTTTGGTAGCATTGTCAATATTTACATTTAAGAATCATTGCACGGAATAAAATCTCCCCTAAGGGACAGTTTTATAAATTTGATTCACTAATCTTTAGCATTGTTAAACCAGAAAAATTATTTTAGATTTCAGTTCATATAGTTCATTAATTCTTTCTTTATTTCAAAACATAGGCCATAAGAAGCTCATTTTAATATTTTGAATATACTTGATCATTCTATGATATGCAAATCATCAGATTTAAAACATCTGACGCCATACTTCATTTCTTATTTTCTGCACTAACTTCCATAACCCGCATGTTCAGATTTATTATATAATATTGTTCCATTTAGTCAAAAGCATTAGTTTTGCATCATAAAATAATTTATTGGTGCTATAACCTAGTATTTCTTTTATCTATATTGAAATTCTCTTTTGGATGTATCAGGAAAGAGTATATTTTTCAAAGAACCATACACAATCCAGTGTCTCGAATTCTTCAAAGCATTTAATCAATCATCTTAAAGCGTATCTTTTTGTAGAACTGGCCCTTTGAGGAAAACTAAGAATTCGGATGTTTCTTTATTTACAGGCGGTAAACAGAACAGTCAAAATCAGGCAGAGAAGCCATTTCATTGTAATGTTTGTGATGGAACATTCTCCAGATATTCGTCACTTTGGTCACATAAGAGACTTCATTCTGGGGATAAACCTTTCAAGTGTGAAGTTTGTGGCTTAGCTTTTGCAAAAGGTGAATAGAGTAGTTTCATGCAAATTAAGGTAACTTGTTGAAGAAAGACACAATGTACACTCACAATATTCACTTTTAAATTTATAGCTGCATATCTAAAAAATCATGGACGAGTGCATACTGGTGAAAAACCGTTTAAATGTAGTGTTTGTGGTATGCAGTTCTCGCAAAGTCCTCATTTAAAGAATCACGAGAGAATTCATTCTGGTGAACGTCCTTATCAGTGTGAAGTGTGTGAAAAAACATTCGCCAGACATTCGACCCTTTGGAATCACAGAAGAATTCATACCGGTGAAAAACCTTATAGATGTAATATATGTGGTTCGGCCTTTAATCAAGCTACACATTTGAAAAATCACGCGAAAGTTCATACTGGTGAAAAGCCACACAGGTAATGTTTAGAATATACTTGTATTACTTTATTATACATTTTTAATTCAATTATTTTTTAATTACTATCGTTTGTTCTATAGATGTGATATATGTGAGATTGGATTTTCCGATCGCTTTGCATTAAAACGTCATCGTGCAATTCATGAAAAGTACGGTCAAACTGCCCGAAATCAAAATGCAAATAATCCAAGTAACGCACAGCAAGCGAATGCGAGTAATCAGCAGCAACAGCAACAGCAGCAGCAGCAGCCCCAGCAAGCACAGCAAGGTCAACAGGTTGTCGTAGTGAATGCCACGACTCCTGTTACCGTGAGTCAAGGTCAAGGGCAAGCGGTAATGCTCGAAGAAGTCTACAAGTGTCAGGTGACCTTCCCAGAGCCTAAATGATTCAGCTAGAGAATACCTTTCAGGAGCTGGTAAAGGGGTTAATTTTTTAACCTTTTTAAACAAAAAAAAATACTAATTAACATTGAGAATGCGATATACGTATGTGCGAACGTATACAAAAAAAAAAAATGTAAAGGGAAACGTGGACAACATTCAGCAAGAGGCAAGTTTCCAGAGTGGCTGGCAGCACGCTTTCTGTGCAGATTCTGTGGGAGGATTATTTGGTGACAGTCGGGTATATCTTAAATAAAAAAACAAATGAAAAAAGGGTATCATTAAAAGAGCAAAAAAAAAGAAAGACTCAGCGATGGTTTGCGCGAGTGAGTAATTTTCATAGAACGTGACTCGGAAGAGTACGGCTCGTAAAAAATCGGAACACTCTCCCGACCACTGTAGTAGTGAAGAAAAATCTTTTGTGAATGAATAACGAAACGATATTAAAAGAAAAAATGAAGTAACGAAAGAAGAAATATTAATAAATCTACTTTATATTTTCTCACTTGAGATAGACGCATTACTTAGAGACATTACATCGGATCAAATCACAAAATTTGAACTCGTTGGTTCTAACAATATTGCAGTTATTTCCTTCCGTTAATTTGCGAATAATCGATTGCAAATTAATTTTTGTTTCTTTGTCTTGTATTTTAAGGGGTCGTATCTCTCACCCTCAACAAAATTTAATAAAATATTATAGTGAACGTAATTATATCCAGGTTTCATGACTCACTGAATGATAAAAATACATGTGATAGCTTCGAGTGGATCTTAGCTAGGCAGGAAGCGGCAGTAATCCGATCGCTCTGATACTGATGGATTATGCGTGCTATGCATATTTATCAATGGCATAGGGAAATGTTTCAGAAACTAATCTAAAAATACAGATGTCAATAACTGTGAAAGGAAGAAAAAAGAAATTTATTTTAAAAGCCTGAACCTCGGCCCTTGCTTCTTATAGCTTAAGTAAAAGAATGAAAATTAATATTAATTCATACATATTATCTCGATCGCCTTGTTTCTTTTTATCAATTGAAATCAAAAATTAATTTAAACGAAACAAAAACAAAGAATAGAGAAGTTAAAATTAAAAAATGGAGGAACATATAAATCATCATTAAAAGGTGTAACTATGTTTGAAACGGAAGTCGTGGTACGGAATGATATCGCGATTTGAGCGAGCCCTCTTCCGTCCAGTCATTCGGGATCACAGTAAGAAATAATTATTGCATTATTGCAATGACAACGACCACGAATTAAAAGAAGAAAAATAAATTATGATGACAGAAGTAATGCCACGCGAGGAAGACTTCTATCTCACATGGAGCTGCAATAAATAATAGTGAATATCGACGGGCAGACTAATCTGTTTTATAATTTTAAGGCCGTGAACTATAATGGATATCAGTTACTAAAATAGTTGCTAGTTTGTAACGGCAAAATAGCTGGCTAGATTATCTATACGATATATACATAATTAATTTTTATATCCCCATTTGTTAAGAGCGATGGCTAAACACCATCGCTGCGAACTCTTAAAATAGCGGTGAATCAGAAATCGATTCGGTTGTAACTTAAAAAGAAGTAACGGCGATTCCACAGCTCCGACTGGTCGGTAACTCGTGGTATCGGTGATGATCAGGATGCCACTTACGCCATTTTGAAGCAAAGAAACACTGTTCCTCGGACATCTTCATCAACTACATTTTTCTTTTTCAATATAAAACTTTGTTGAAATATTTCTTGAAGGTTTCGAATAAATTTTATACTCTTCTCCTGTTTTGTCTTTAATAGAGAATTGAATGAAATCAAATATCTTTTCTTTTTAAATTTCATTAAACAGTTTACCGTCAATAGGATCTATTAATTCCGTAATTCGATAAATTCGTTTTAGCAGTTGTGTCAGCTTGACGTACAAAACTGTTTTTGTATGAGAAAATGAAAGGAAAAAGTAAATGGATGAAAATCATTATTGTAATAAATCAACCCTAAGACATACGGGGGACAAACGACAATATGGCTCGGTGATGTCCCAAAATCGTTCTTTTATACAGTGTATAACTGATTATTGAAGTATTAACGAAGAAACGTCATCGAAATGAATATGTGATCACAAAGTGATCGACCCTCTGCAATCAAATCGTTGATCAGTTCGGAGGATTTTACAAAGGAAAGTCTGGGATTGGGGATTACTTTGTTTTTATCGCTATAACTTGTAAAATAAAGATAATGCTATTACGTTTAATTTACTTTTAATGTGGTCATAATACCTGCTACAGTATTTTCGATTAGATTAGAAGAACTTTTCTCTTCGGTGTTCTGTTAATTTTTCATTCGTCTGTTGCTGTTTTATGTTTCTCCTTTTCTTGTTTCTTTTTTTTTTTTCTTTTCTTTTCTTTTCTTTTTTCATTCACATTCACCCCCACCCCCTTTTTTTTACACGCAATTTCAGCGCTTTCCAATAACTATGTTCTCATTTTTATTTTTTCAAGACTGAGTGGCATAGCTTAGTTCTCTTAGCGATATATTTTATTTCAGTTTCTCAGTGCAATGATTTCTCATAAAATTATTGTTCATAAAACTGTGTAATTGTAGTTCATCGAATAGTAATCGACGTATAAGTAGCCCATATGCTTGGATCTTCGATTATCATTTTATTTAAAACTCAGCCACTTTGGTCGTATCATTTTGAAGATAGTGAATCGTGTAAATGGGTACTCGGTAAGTCAGGGTGTCCGAAATGAACGTCGTTTCTCTCTATTACTTCGCTGTATAACAGTACTTTCGAGGGAAAGCAGAGTTTGTAAATATATATAAATATAAATATATATATATATATGTATATATATATATATATATTACTAATTGTACGATGTCCCCAGGTCGAAGAGGAGGGCTCTAATTGTAGCATTTTACAAAACGACTCACTTTCGTTCGATTAAGCGAGTGAAAGCACGACAAATATGATCCTTAATCTATCTAATCCCAAGATGAGAGCTCGAAATTAGATTAAATGCGATTTGACATAAACTGCTCAAAATAATTACTGAGTCATCCATGCGAAGAATTTTGGTAAGGTATTGCATTTTTTGAATTTAAACAAATTTGTTGAAATTTCAAATTACAATATATTCTTCGTTTTTCCTTTTCTTTCTTTTTTTTTTTTTTTTTTTTTATATGTCTAAAATATCGCTTCATTTTTTCAGAATCAGATTCAGACAAGCGATCCCCTAATTGTTTTGAGCAGTTCCAAATTGCTGATGGAAATTCGCGAAACTTTTTGTATCGAAAGATCTTTGGGCCCTTTTTTTCGAACGAACTAACGCACTTTTATAATATTGTACCTACGTTAATAAAAGACCTACCACCGAGGAAGGTCTATAAGGATTGTAAGTAACGAAGTCCTAGGTGAATAAGTAATTTTAGGAATTGCGTCGTAGAAATTATCGAAGGAGATACGGGACTATCTATGAAGCAACCCCATAAACCACGGTATTCAATGAGCTATTAATCAGTGCCATTTATGAATAAACATTTCCATTTCTTTTCCGTAAATTGATTATTTTAGTGATAGCACTGATGTACTTTCTTCAGGATTACGTGGCTCCTTGCAATTTTATCACGCTCCTTAGGTAATATTCTGCGAACAAAACGAAAATTCGGAGCTTCCATTTTAATCAAAACGCCTGGAAGCGTCTTCCTGAGCCTCGTTGAAATATATCCTGACCTACTCGATTCTTCAGTTGTATATAAGCTCACGAATTTAATCGCAAAGAATTTGAAGAAAAAACGAAATTATTTTCTTGCGTTACGTTTGAAACGTATTAATGAATTTAATTATCATCGAATCCTTCCTTGATCGTACAGGAATTAAGGGTCGAGGTTTCAGGGTCATTATATAACCCGAAATTCTTTGTAATTACATATTCAAGAATCATATGAAGCGATAGAAGAGAAATGTACGAATTTCTCGACGATAAAAACCATCGAAGACGATCAGTGTCCTTAAAACGTTCGACCCTTTTGCAATCGCGTTGATTTCGAAGGACTGACGGCTTAATGAATTGCGCATGCCATTCACTCGATGATTAACCTTTATCTAAATTTAAAAAAAAAAAAAAAAAAAAAAGAACGGCTCTCCTCGCAACAGTATTTTATAATATAAATGGTAACACAGTGACGTCGATGTCCAGATAAGGATTAAGCAGGCGTATCGAGGCGAATATACGTAAAAACTTTGTATAAGTATATATTGTATAAGTCTTGTAACGTGTACAGATTTTTCGTCCGTGTTCGATGGAAAGACGAAGGGTTTTTTGTACAAAACTTTCCTCGTTAACTACGAATACGCAAAGCAAAAACGAATTTTTGCGATTCTCTTCCTTTTTTCCGGTTCATGTTCTTTTTTTCTCTCCTTTTGATAACAATATTCGTCGTCTAGCCAAAAGAAAAAGAACAAGCGAGAAGAAAGGTAGAAGATAGGAAAAAGAAATAAAAAGGGAAAACATACGAGTACACGGTATACGGTACTGACTACTATACCGCATTAATGTAGAAACATATTCGTAAAAATTTAAAAGGAAAATGGTGAAGAGGGAAGAAAGAAAATCATGAATAGAACTTAGGTATAGCGTGCAATTTTACGAAGTTTCTTAATTAAAAAGAAGAGGAAAGATAAATGGAAGAAAAAAACAAGGAAATATGCAGTCCTATCGCGATATAGATTAATTTTTACATGACACCACGTTGTATGGGCAATAATGCTGATCATACGAATTTTTGATAATAAAACACGTTCCTATTAAATTATCTGTTCATTGTCGTATTGTTAAGTCTTCTGAAGCGGGGGCGATTAGAGAAAAAGAAGAAAAAAGGGAGACGATTCTCTGAGGATATAGACTGTGGGTTAGAAGAAGATGCAATGGAAGAGTCGAAAATGGCCTCTTTGTAAGATAATAAGGAAACATCCTACTTCGAAGAGAAAATAAAATAAAAAAAAGTAAAAAAATAAAAAAATAATACAGAAAACAAGAAAATAAAATGAGAAGATAGGAGAAAAAATTAAGTAACGTAAAGAAGTCTTGTAATTTTCTATCGCGACGACAAGAAAACTAAAAGGAACATTGGTAAACGCGAATCTAACGACGTGAGACTGTATATTTAACGTAATAATTTATTTTCAGGGTATCTATCGAGATATTTTTTCATTTGCCATTGTAAAAAAATTTTTGAAAATCTACGCACTTTCTAATAAGCTAAACTATAGTAGGAGTGTAAAGTTATATATAAAATTGTAAGATGATGATGATGATGATGATGATGATGATGATGATGATGATGATGATGATGATGAAGAGAGATGAATTATTATTTTCGTCCTTTTCACGGAGGACCTCGACGATTCATCGGTATTCTCATCGTCGGACTCGTAAGAATACTGGATACCATTTATTCCACGAATACTGTAAATGATGAATAAACGATCCCGGTATTCTTATTGTCCGTCACTAGAGAATTCCGAAAACGGAGGATATAGTTAAACAGAAATTACTTTTATCATGTAACATGTTATAGATGAAAAGCGAATTGTATTCCGCGATGCGCTCTTTTAAAACTAAGTTTCAATCTTTCGTTTTCCTTTGGCTTCGACTTCCGCGAGTTTTTTTTTTCTTTTTTTTTTTACATATAGTTTATCGACTGAGAGAAGAATTTAATATTTTTGTTTCGATGTTGAAAGAGGGAAAAGAGAATCATTTACAAAACGAAGCTAAACAATAATGACAAAATAGCACGCGGTGGTGAAGCCACTGTGAAGAAACTTATAAACGCGTGTGTACATAGTATCCACGTATCACACGTGCGAACACCGTTTTGTATGAAAGAACAGTCGTAAAGGAAAAAAAGATTGTCACTTTAGATTAGTCTGCTGTCAATATAACTAGAATTATAATTTTGAATGTAATATGTATCATATTGATTATTGCCTAGATAAGGAAACCGTACCGATTAAAAAGTTAGCGCACGATTATATCAGACTTTAGGTATAATAATAAATGATGTCCACGGGACATTTTCATTTTTGAAGACTTACGTCAGTTTTATTCAGTAGACATGCGTGTGCAAATCTAATACGCCTGAACTACAATAATTTTAATAATGGTTACAGTAATTGTTTTTATTAAACCGAAATGATTTTTATATATTTTTGATATCGAAAGCTTTATTTTTATTCATCAATTTTATAATGTTCGCATATTTTTTTTAAATTACAATTCTATGAATTTATATTTTTATATTAAACTTCGGGAAATTTCATAATAAATATTTATATTCACGAATAAATAAGATTCAGTAAAATTAACAATTTAATAAAAATAAATAAGAAGTTCAAAAATTAATAGAAATAAAAATTCAAAAGTTCGCCGATTATGGTGCACATGCGCAAACGATTCAGTGAACGACGTGACCCTAGCCGACAATCTTACATGACAAGTGAATCTAGTCACGCCCGTGTCGTAGTGGAATAAACATGGCGTTGTGCGGAATATTGAATTGTATTTAGTGGTTGAATGTCTGAGGTTTGTGTAGTGGAACAATTTTCTAGTTGCCATCATATCTTGTCATCGAATCAACGTATTCCTGAGAATGTTACCCGACTATGGTTAAGATTTCATTGAGAATCTTACAGTAAAGGTAAGTCATTTACGAAAATACAAGTACATATCTTTCGAAATAATATTACAGTTTTGCAAAATCGGTAGTACGCAAATTAGAAAAATAACAACTAAATTATTGCTACTATAGGCAAGTAAAAATCCGATATTTTTAGTTTACTGTGTATGCTAGGTATTATATTGTGATGGCAGGTTGTAATTGTTCATAATACAGTATGGAAGTTGTCCCATGCGGCATATACTTTAACATCGTAATTTTGTGAAGAATGTAATAAATTGATCTTTGAGATCAATTACAGTAAAATTTATACAAGAATATAATTAATTTTGTTTTTTTTTTTACATGTTATACTTACATAAAAATTTATTGCAAATTTGTGAACTATTAAATAATTAATAAGTAAATATTAAAACACGAATATAATTGTTATTTTTAAATAAAATTGCAATGATTTTTATATCATTTCAACATTTCAAAAGTAAAAGTAATTGGTAACAAATTATAATTGCTCAAGAATATAATTAAAAAATTGAAACAAACAATACATATTTATTTTGAACCAGTTCAGATGTATATAAAAATTATTTAAAATCATTAATATAACATTTTAATAACTAAAAATAATTTCTAGAATAGCTGTACATATCTTTCTGCAAATTCATCAAAATGTCTCAATGAATATTATTCTATATTACTTCTTGTATTCTTTATTTATGAATAATGTAAAGGGGATTTATTGATATTAATTTAGTTTGCGAAAAAATTAAATATTTATCAAAAAAATAAAATTTTCCTTATTATATTCTTTACGTACGAAAAGTATCGTATAACGTGTCATATAGCATCATACTGTCGTCTTTGTACAGTATACGGCAAAAGTCATTCGATCATCATCGAACGCTCTGTTGTTTCTTGTATCATACTACAATACCGTTATACAATAGATGAAAGAAGATTATATTTTTATAATTTTAATTACACCTTTACTATTTTGGGACAAAAATTTGGCAATATTATTCAAATATACTTCCTATTTATTATTATTTCATTGTGTACGTGGAATAATGGAAATTTCATATAATTGAAAAACCATAAAAGTAAATCCCAAGTTATGAGAATGATATATTTGTAAGTATATTTAAATTATATTTTATATTTAATATCGCATTTTGTGTAGATTAAACGTCTATTTACATGCTTCTACATAATTATAATATTATAACTTTTTTCAAGAATGAAAGAATGAAAACAAATCACTGTACAAATGGGTAAACAAGGTTAGTACTTGAATCGAATGGTTGCACGTGAAGAATATTATCTTGAGTAGCGTGTCTGTTCTTGTATACGCGGCACCATAGCCGCAACGTTGCGAAATAGACGATTTCCACTAAAGAAAGGAAACTAAAGCCCATGAAGAGACCCAATAAACCACCTGTGCTAGCTATACATAAATAATTGCGTAATTGAGATCTTTGAGCTTTTCATAGCTAAACTTATAATTATGAACTGTATTCTTTTCTAAAAAATTTTCAAGGTTTCATCAACCTTATAGCTGACCTCATTAAGATTCTGAACAACTACATTGAAGCATTTTAGGATTACTATTTGTAGGCGCGTTATATATACTGCACATATCTAAATATAATTTTTGAACATTGCCTTAAATGAATACATAAAATAAAATAGTCTGATAATTAATATTTTTACTAGTAATTAAAAATATGTAGAACAAATATTAAATATTATTTGTCTATTATTTTAACACCTTAGTTATAATTTTTTAAATTAATTCTTGCTATACAATTGAAACATATGGATAATTTCACTACAACTATTTCATTATCATTTTTATTCAAACCCTAATAAATGCTAGAAGATTTGGAAACTTTTTATAAAAGGATTTTAATTATATTTCAATTTATTCATTATAATTGTGCTAAGTGTAAAATGTTGTGTAAAAAGTTATTATAAAGCGATAGAGGGCATAATGAAGTGAAAAGTATATTGTGACCTAAATCTGTCATAGTAAATTTATTAATAAACTTTTAACTGTTTATACTCAAAATGAATACTCAAAAAATTCACTATGCGTTTATTACTATTTTAAATTACTATTACTATAAAGGGATTCTATTATATTATATTCTATTCTATTATATAAACCAAGCGAGAATTAGATAGCCTTCTATCACCTAGTGCTAAAATCAGCAATTTAATCTTTACTTTAGTATCACTAAATTATATATCATTTAATTCAGTATCGCCGTTTCAATATCGTGATTAAAAATTTCATTAATATGAATTACATTAAACCAAACAAATAAAGACTTACTTACAAAGAAATTCTGTGAAACCAAATAAATCGTTCTTCATGTACTTCGTGAATTGAGACTCGACAAAGAATAGATGAACCACTGCCATGTTTTTACTGATTAAGAAAAATTATTTGATTATCAGTATGGCAATTATTAATATTTTACTAATACTTAAGTTAAAATAAAAAATAGAATTACGTGAAGTATTCCTTGCTTTTCTTCACATAGTTATCAGAAACGATAACATTGGCCATCAATTTACTCTGTGAGATTTCTACATTATAACCGATTTCGAAGCATCCCGGATAACAGTTGCAGCTAGGTCTGTGAAATGATACTTTCGACTTCAACTTTTGATCAAGGATAAATTTCTAGTTAACAAAATTAATTACTCACGTTTCTGAAAGATTTATAGAAGTTATGCCAATGTTGTCGTCATAAAGTTCGACTTCCATTGCTCTGCGAGCATCTGTTGCACATCCTGTATCTTTTTTCCCACATATAGGAGTATTGGATGATTCTGAAAATAAAGGGCAAATCTAAAGGGCTAAAATCTAGATTTAGAATTAGAATTTTATATCTAGAATTAGATTAAATAGATCTAGATTTAGAATTTTAAAAGAATACATACATACTGACATACTTACTTCATACTCTATACTCAAATATGTGTATATTAATTCAAAATGAGATAAGGATTAATGCAAATTCGTCATGTTTGTCCTTTGTCCTTCACTTAACTTTTAGTTTATTAAATTGTGATCAATATAATTCATTATCAGTATGAATAATCTCATTTCATTCAACTTATGTATCGTTTAAAATTCATTGTTTTGCAATAACAATAATAGCAATTTAATTGTATACGAATAATGGTATTTCAAGATGAAAATATCAGATGATTTAATTTACCTAGAGACATTACTTTAACTTCCCTTTCTCATTTTATTTCTTAAAAGAGTCTAAACAGTATGAACTGTTTAAAAGTTACTAAGAAAAGTTAATATAAAAATTACTAGGCATATAATACTGGACACATTTACAAATCTTCTGCGTAAAATTCGCTTCACACTCGAGGATGCAGTTTCTCTGCGTGTAGGTTCTGTAATAGCGTAGCTTTCTCTCAGATGTAAAGAAGCACTTCCTCTGTTTCTGGGGAACAGAGATTATCGACATGCTAGCGGTCGATATCCGGGGCGTTACGATCACTCTAGTCTCCTCACCCGGAGTCACGGAGAACGCAAATTCGGCAATCTTTGGTGTCTCAACTGGATTATGCAGTAACATCTGTGAGCACATACTTCTGTTCTATTGTTGTATGGTATCTCTTCTTCCATTTGTAATTTTATTTTAATTACACATTAAATTTAATATTTATTCTAATGTAAATATTGATATCTTTTTTAGTCAAAATATTTTAATCTATTTAAAGTCTAACTTTAAATTGTGTCAGTTCGTACATGAACGATTGGTAGCATTATGACGATGAATTTATCAGTAATCTAATCCAGTTCAGTTTCATCTGAATCTAGAATTTAATACCTTGAAACCAACACTAGCAGTGGATGAACAGTAATAATCTTCAGCATCTGCATCCAGAACCAAAGTCAAACCGTAATACTGTCCTGCGCCATAGGGCCTCCATGGTATGGAATCTGACGGTACGTTTTTGTATCCGATTTCGGGATTCCAGTCAATGCTATTGGATGGATATGTGATGTTGAGGTCTGGCCAATCTCGTCTGGAAGCAAAATTGAGTTTAGCAAAAATGGAAGATTATTTCAAGTACTATCAAACGTGAAGTTGCAATTGAACTAAATCTTTTATCAAAAGTAATAGATGACAAACTTTTAAAATTACAGAAAAAAGATTTAAAAAAATAAAAGTAAAAGGTAATATCTCATCTTTGATTTCAATATCAAAAAACGTTTCCTTCCAAATTTACTTACGGATTATAAAACAAATATTTTTTGTGAACTGAATTAAAGTTGCAACATATTCCTTCATCTGCCATAGTGGGGTTAAAGATCTTCTCGCAATCTGTAACGTTGCCATGCCACTTGCATAAATGCAGCATATCTTTACAAGGTTGTGATGTCTGTCAAAAAATAATTAATATTACATAAAATTACTTGTAAACATTTAAATGAATATTTTCTTATTAAGTATTTAAAAGTACTAAAACGTAGAATATAAATATAAAATAAATTTACTTTTTCATTCTAAATATTTTCTTAATCTCTAAAAACATCTTAAACATATAAAGATTTCCCGAAATATAATAAGTAACAAAATTATTTAACTGTTAGATTCTTTACTTATTTTGAATATATTATTAGTAATTCTTTTTTTAAATTCATGACGCAATTTTTTGTAATCTTTAATATATTATATTACAAAATCTATATTAAATCTTCTTATCTTTCAAGTTGCTTTTATATTTGTACGATATAATGTGCAGTTTATAAAATAAAATCATAAGAGTATCTTCAAATGAAGATCATGAAACAAATAGATTTAAGAAATACGTGGATCGTATCGATCGAAGTTATCATGATAAACTTATAAACCAAACCCACATTTCATGATATGTTACGTACGTTGATCAAAAAATCCATGATGCTTTCCCAAGTTATTGTACTCTTGTTGAAATAAGTAGTCGACTGGTTGTTTTCCATATCGCACATATCCTCCAATAACAGCTTCTCTTGTATATCGTTCCTGTCATTGGATGATTAATTGAAAATAATTAAATTTCATTTTTCTTTTCGTAAATTACAAGTAATGTTTTAATAAAGTAAATGAAGTATAAACTCAAAAATTCATTATTTTAATAATTAAATGAAATATAACATTTTGTTGTTATTATGAGTCATTTTTTGTTAAAATCTTTTATTAAGTACTTAAGAACAGCTCACCCGGCAATTATACGAGTTGCTTCACTTTTTCTAACATTATTCATGTTACAAATGGTGACCGAAGGGAATGGAAACTCGTTCAGGGACGCTGATTCTGGACTGAGAGATATGATGATGGGTGATGAAGTCCACTTTTTATACAGAAACCAAATATAATAAGATGCTGTTAAGACTGCTAGGGAAAAGGAAATTATCCAGAAGATTCTGTGAAAGAGGTATTAAAACTGTTATAATGATATAATAGAATATTAATAGATAGTTTTAATATTCAAAAGATTGTCATTTTTCATAAAATAGTGATAAATTTAAACAGATTTTTATTTTAAAAAAATATTTATTTTGAATTAACAAATATCTGTATATTATATGAAATAATAAATTCAAATTATAAGAAATTACCTCTCACCAATTGACAAGTTCGAATCTCCAATGTAACGTAAACCGTGAAGAGTACTATTTGTGCAATATTGTTTCACAGTTTTACTTAAATGCAAATTCCTTAAGCATTGTTGAGTTCGATTTTCGCTAAATTGAAAAGAAAAGAATATTTTTAAGCATTTATCTTTCTATAGAAAATTGTATTACGATTATGTTGTATCATAATCTAGCGTTACCTTATGTTTTTATCATCGTCGTGATTGTAATGTTGCGTTAAAGAACTTTCCTTTTTTGACAATGCATTCTTACTGTACCTGGACCTTAATATCATATCTTTTGATCGGTACATAGTCTTGAAAATATTTGAGTTCGCATGAAAAGAGAGATCAGAAATTGTAATATCAAATAAAAATTAAAAAATATTATTCCTTATGTAATTATTTTTACTGAATTCACTATATAATTACACAGTAAATATGATACTTTGAAGTTTATAAATATAATCATTCTCACCATTGGCGAATGCATAACTGTATAATATTGTACTAGAGGACCTTGAATATTAATAAGTTTCTCCAATTTTAATAATCACGTAAATTTAATTACCTTGTAGGATGTTGGTCGAACTTTGAAATTCTCTCGAGTGGCGTATCCTTCCAATCTTAGAGTCTGTTTATACGGATTTTGTAGATGCACGGTGTTGATAGAATAGGGTATATTGAGATCATGATTCCTCAAGTAATTCAACGTTGCCTTGTCGATGGCTCTATAAGTGGTTCCGATTGGTTCCACTCTATCTTCGTCTCCTGGTTCGGAATATTCTCGATAGTAGAGCTTAATCGGCATTGCATCGATATCCTGGATCTTCCGATTGCTGTATATAGTGCTTTATTATCACAGGAAATTGGTATTTTTAATGAATCAAAATTGATCTTACTATGAATATCTTCATTTAAAATCAGATTGCATCTGGCAGTCTTCAACCTTACTTCTTCTTGTGGTACTGTCTTCTTTGAGAAAAATATAAAGAATGACTGTGATTTAACGCCATAGTTAACATATTTACAATACATTTAATATCTTCATAAAAATTTTGTATATTGGACATCGTATTTTTATTTAAAAAAAAAAAAAAAAAAACATTACATATTTCAAAAAATATTGCTGTTCAAAAGATTACAGAATTTTTATAAAACTTTTTAAACATACAAAATTCTTTATATAAAAGTTAATTCTGTTAGTCGTATGCAGTAAGTCTTAAGAAAGTAAGTTATGGTGACTCACCCTGTTCTTACTTCATAAAAATGACGTAACCTAATGTACAATATAACCCAATATCAGACCAAGTCATAATCTTCAAAATATTTTTATTCCCATCTAAAAAAAA